AGGGCTAAAGCCCAGCTAAAAATAAGGTGCAGAGCAGATGAGGCAGGGCAGGGCCGGGCAAGCCCCGAGGCCGAGTTAAGCCAGCCTGGAGCTGTGATTGCTGTGAGTGCTGGCCAGGCAAGGGGCTGTGCAGGGAGCAGCCTCTGTGCTTCTCCTCTGCTTGTCCTGTGCCCTCCCTCAGCTTTGGATTATTAGAGGGCAGTAGCTTTATTCCAGACAAGTTCCGTTTGATCCTGAGCTTTCCTCCTCTTCTTTTGATTGTATGTTGGAGCCTCACAGCAACAGTTCCGCCCCTGCTAAATGTCCATGGATCCAAAAGCACTTTCACCACAAATCAGGTGAGTGCAGAGCTGTTGCAGGCTGTGTCAGGCGTGTCCTCCAGCACTGAGAGCTCTGGAACAGGCTGGCATTCCTCTCTGCTGTTTGTTTCTGGTCATGGGATGGAAAAAGAACAGTTAATAGTTGACCTAAATTCAGGCCTGGTTAATTATAGTTTCCTTCAGTTCTGGCTTTGTTCTGTGTGTGTTTGCTGCCAGGTAAGGATAACCTTGCAGTCCTAGAAAGCTTCATGCCAGGGAGGGAAGTGATGACAAGAAAATTACAGGGTAAAATTCCAGCCTTTTCTATTGGAAAAATTTATCCTGAGTTGGCTCTAAGCGTAGTTCAAATACACAGAGGATTATGCATTTCTACGTGGCTCCCTCAGTGTGGGGCTGGCATCGAGCCCTGGTGCAAATGAGGGCTAGGAGCTGTTTTTGCTGATGGTGTGTGGAAGGGAAGAGCCTTCCTGTGATGTCAGCACAAGGAACAGAGTGCAGGAAATCTTCCATCCTTCCCAGAATCACCCTGCAGCTGGAGCTGCCCAGGTACCAGAGAAGCACAAATGTCACGGAGGCAGTCGAGGCTCCAGGATGTTTGCTTTGCTCTTTCAAGTGTCAGAACAGAGTGAGATGGGGTCTGTGTTTGTGGCCCATGGAGTTCATGCATTTCGTGACTAATCCTGCAGCCTGGGGATTCAGACCTTCCTTTAATCCCTGTTTGTTTGTCATTCTGCCAGTCGCTGTCACTGCAGAGGTCCCACTGGAGGGGAACATAAACAGAGGTAATTCTCCAAGCTTAGTCATCTCAGGAGGTCTGTGTGTGAAGTCACGAGAACTTCTTCCCTCCCTTTCCTTCATACCTTAGCGTGATGAAACTGTTGTGAAAGTGGACCTGTGGCTGAACCTGGTTGCTGGCATTTTTATTTCCATTAGTAAATTCTTCAGTGTCTTTGTCTTCTGCTAACACCTCCTCTGACACCAAGACACCTTTGTGAGAGGAGACACCAGCACCAAGCCTTCTCTGCCACATGCCAAGGCTCACAGGTGCAGGAGCACTTCCATTCTCATGTGATGGACCACATCAGGGTGGTGTGTGAACAGTGGGACTCGATGGTCAGAAGGGTTTTTTGTAACCTGACTGACTTGCAGGCTATTCTGAGCTTTTCTGGTTTGGTTTTTTGCAAATGCTCAAGTGGTTTCTCCCACCTGCCCTGAGGGAAATGTTGAATCCAACGTTCTCTTTTGTGTAACTGCACTGTGTTTCTGCAGCGGCAGAGCTGGCTGGCTTTGTGTTATCAAAAGTTCATAGATAATATTTATTTATTGTGAAATATCCCAGAGAGACACTCGGCAGGGGCTTCTGGAAGCACTTCATGGATATAGCCTTGGACATACAGGGAAACATCAAGTAAAGCTGTGTATTTTTATGGCCAGCTGGCTCAGTTGGGGTTGCTGCAGAGACAAACTCGTCCCTCAGCCCCCAAAAACAAACAAGCAGAAGTTTTGGCAGCAGTTAAGCAAACAACAAACTCTCCTACAGAGACAGTGACAGCATTAAGAACCCAAATCGTGGAGTCAGGACTGCAGGTCCCAGTGTCAGTGCTCCACATGGGAAGGAGGTCTGGGACAGGGACTTTAGGACAGGACACATTCTTTTCATGCCACAAAACTGTTGTGGTGGTGGTAGAAAGTCATTGGACACTTCTGGAGGAAAAGGCAATTTCAGGCAATTCTTCAAGAAAAGATAAGGGGGAATGTGTAACTTGCCAGGGTTTTGTTTTTAAGGACCTAATAAATCAGAGCACACGAGTTGCAGCCCATCCCTGATGAGAACATCCTGTCATCGTGTCTTCACCCTGCCGACCTGGGTGCTTTCTCTTGCTGACCCCTCCCCGTCAGGCAGTACCAGCAGCACCACAGCAACGTTGCATGTGCACACTTTGTGTGGAAATCACTGGGAGTTATGTTGGAGCTGCCTGGAATGTGTGTTTGAACAAAATGATTCTTTTTCTCTTCGCTGCTTTTTCAAAAGGCACGCTTCAAAATAAGGCTCAGGAGGAGGTGACGGCATGGACTGGCCTAGTTTCCTTACTTTGGGAATAGCAGAACAGAATTTTTTAGTAGCTGCAGAACATGTCTGTCCCTGGGGACATTTTGTACATTAAAACACTCTTTGGAAAGGGACTTAGATTGATCTCAGTGGGTTCCACACTGATTTCTCATTAGTTTCGTTTTGAATTAGTGACAGTGTGGATCTTCCCTAGATACTTTTCCTTGCTTTATTCAGAAAAAGGCTAAATTAGGCAATGGATCTAGTGAACATATGGGAGGAACATGATGGATGGATGGATGGATGGATGGATGGATGGATGGATGGATGGATGGATGGATGGATGGATGTAAAGTGTATATACATACATATTTAAGGAATGGTTCTATCACCAGCACAGAGTTCAGCCCATGTATTTTACAATATAAAATAAGATGATAAGAATCTCCCATGTGAGTGATGCTGCGGGTTCTCTTTAAGTGCACAGAAGGGTTGGTTTAGGAGGGTTTAGCAGGGTTGGTTGATAACAGTGTTGATGAAATGGGATTTGGGCAGATCACAGCTTTATTCAATGGCAGGGAAAGAGCTGTAGTTCCATTATTTTAAAGTCACACTCCAGGACAAACACCTGCTGTAACCCAGAATAGCCATTTCTCATGGCACAGGAGCATGGCCTGCTCTGCTCCTACAGGTAAGGTTGGGATGTAAGTGGTGCAGGTGACTAGCAAATTAAAAAAGGAAGAGGTAACAAACCAGCTAATTCCAGAATGAGATTAGGATGGATTAGTCTGTCTAGCTCAAATCCCCAAAGAGCCAGACTGGTTCTGTGTGTTTCTTCACTGTTGCCCCATGTGTTATCTTTCTCCCAAGTAACAAGTGATCAGACAAGAGGAGATGCCTCAAGATGTGCCAGGAAAGGTTTAGGTTGGACATGAGGGAAAATTTCTTACAGAAAGGGTTGTCTGGCCCTGACACAGGCTGCCCAGGGCAGCAATGGGTTTTCCATCCCTAGAGGGAATGAAAAGCTGCGTAGATGTGGCACTTGGGGACATGGTTTAGTGGTGGCCTTGCAGTGCTGGGGGGGCAGTTGGGCCCTATGGACTCGGATCCCGCATGTTCTGTTAAGTGGGCAGTTCCTGTAAGCTGGGATTGAGCCTGGCTGCGTGCTCTGAAGGGCTGCATTATGGAAAATGGACTGCAGAACAGATAAACCCCTCCCATGACACGGTGCTTTGTGGGCTGGGCACTGCAAGCTATGGGAAGTTGGCACCGTGGGTACCACAATGTGACAGTGTTCCAGCTGGGTTTCCCTTGGATGCTGTGCTTGGCAGCTGTGCCAGCTGGAGCGGTTTTTGGAATTGGAGTGGGTGTATGATTTTCCCACTGTTGTGCTGCCCTGGGGTTGGCATACTTGAGAGTGCCTGAAGACACAGCAAGGGCTGGTTTGTGGACTTGCATCCGTGGCATTCATGAATTCCAGCCAGAGGAAGGGCTGGAAGTTTGCTGTTGTAGGGGAAAGTGCCCTGGTACATCATGAGTGCAAAGCAGGAGTGTTCTCTCCTCTCCATCCACTGCATTGCTCTAGCTGGGTCTGTGGGGCAGGGAGCTCCCTGTATGTTTTTGGGAAGAGTGGGGGAACGGGGGTGCTCCTGACTGCCACAGGGACACAGGAACCATAGCACACAGCTGACTGTGCACCAGGAGATGTTCCTCACTGATGTTCATTGCTCAGAGATTGCTGGAGTACTGGTATGGATTTGGGAGGAGCCAAGTATCCTGCAGCTGTGCCGTTTTACCTGTCAAAAATCCCTGGCAATGTTTTGTTTTACTGTCCTAAGTGGAAGTAACAGCTTTGGATTTTGTGTGTGGAATAAGAACCATGGACATTTACTGATCCATGTGGTTGAATGAATTTTTCACTTGGTTTTCTGGTGATTTCTCCCAGCCCTACACCACAAGAATAAATTTTCAGGGTTCCTGATGTATCTTATCCAGAGAAGTGGTGACTCTGCAGGCGAGGATGGTTTGTGGGAGGATGCTTTCCAAAATGGAGCTGGAATTCCGTTGGTGAAATCACAGAATGGGTTGGGTTGGAAGAGACCTTAAAGACCACCCGTTTCCAAGCCCCTGCCAGGGGCAGGGACACTTCTGCTAGAGCAGGTTCCTGCAGGCCCCGTGCAGCCCTTCCTGGAGCGCTGGCAGGGATGGGCAGGAGTGCGGCTCACTGATGGCAGCGTGTCCTTGCAGAGCCCCTCAGGCCCCGTGCAGCCCTTCCCTGAGCGCTG